ACTTTGAGAGAAAGCAGAAAGTAAAATAGAGAATCCTTAGCAATTTGTGTAAAATCTCTCAATGACTGAGATAGACAATCTCAGGGGTGGGACTGCATTGAAGAAAAGGGAGATGTATGAATGTGGTAGATTAGAGGTGCTACGAATGTGCTCACACTCCTCCCTTCAAGAGATGGGATTTCTGTATCCCCTCCCCTTGAATCTAGATGAATTTGTGATGACTGGGCTAATGGAACAGTGCAGAAGAGATATTTTCAGGCATAGGCCTCAAGAGACTCAGAGTTTCGTCTTCCTGTCACTTGGCATACTCACTCCTAGAGTCTAGCTGCCATGTTGTGAGGAAGCCTAAGTAGTTCTGAGTGAATGTCTGTGTGGAGAGGATCCAAGGCCCTGACCTTGAGGCTGCACTTACTGCTGGCTGCTAGCACCATCTTGCCAGCCCTTCCAAGAGCACATAATCTTGGAAGTGAATCTCTTAGCTCCCATTAACTGCCCTAGCAGAGTGGAGCACAGAAAAGCTGTCCTTGCTGAGTCTTGCCCACATTTCAGATCCACGAGCAAAATAAATGATTGCTATTGTTTTAAGCCACTGAATTTAGGGGTGGTTTTTCATGCAACAACCTGATTTCCCAGGTAACTGGAACAGTGGGTAACATAAGAAGGAATACATCCATTTCCTAGTATGGAGGGATTAAAATGAACACTAACTTAGTTGTATTTAGAGGTCAGTGTATTTGGGTTTTTGTGTGTGTGTGCATATGTGCACATTCCTGGGCTGACTATTCAGACAATGGTGCAGAGTTTATGGTGTTGACTATGGTCAATCATTCTTGTAAAACCCAAGTGTGGATCTAACTGATAATTGAAGAAGGATAAACACCATTAAGTAAAATACCAAAGATGATCAATAATTATTTTTAAGTGTGGTGTCCAAGGGGCGAGCAGGGTAAACACCCCTGTTTGTCCACTCCTGACTCTACCCCATCTTGGGGTAGAGTAAACCCTGCAACATGGTTTATTCCCATCATGGGGAAATAACATTTCTGCTGTTTTGTTATTTTAGCAAAGTTTTGATGCACCTTTTTTTTTTTTTTTAACAGAGAAGAGGGTCCACTGTGTCATACTAGCAGGGAAACTTCATGCAAAGTCTCAGACATGTTTTGAGCTCACTTAAAGACAAATCCCCCAAACTCTGCAGTAATGGAGTAATAATGACCTTTTGTTCATGCCGAAATACCAACCGTGTTCTCTTTGTCATTCAAAATCTGGGTTTTTCCTCTCATCTCCCCTAGAGCTTTTGCCATTCTTTATTTTCCTTTGGAGACCAGAGCATCATTTTCTTTCTCTTTCTTCCATGTGAGGGGACAGCCACGAGGCATGATGATGCAGCTTAGATAATGTTAGCAAATAAAAGTTTTTAAAAATATTGAGCAATATTCTCCCAGCATGTAAGTCCCAGTTTGGGAAAAAATTAGGGTCTTTTGGAAGCTGCTTTAACTCTTCGGGGTCCCCATGGTACCATTCGGCAAATGATTGGCTCTGTGCATCAAACAGCACCCCGGTGGCCTGAAAGAGTTAATGCAGCTTCTAAAAGTGCCCTTCGAGGTCCCAGGAAGGAGTCCGGGCCTTGGGAGATCTGGCTCAGAGTACAATTACTGTTCAGCTCACAGTGGCCCAATTTGCTTTATTGTAGAGTGCCTCCTGGAGTCCCACTGCTCCAGAGACGATATAGATGCTTCTGAGTCAACTGCCTGCAAATTGGTCTTTGAGGGGTTTGTCAGTGCAGGGAGGAGTTGCAGGGATTTGTTAGAAAGACATCATAGCAGAGTTTTCGTTTCTAGGGAGGGAAATCATCTTGCCACAGAAATTCCAAGTCGAAAGTACAGACGTTTCCTCTCCAGGGATTAACAAGTCTGAGTGGCAGCTGGCTTCTAGGTGACAGCCATACGTTTCGTAGATGTGTAAATGCTATTTGCGTATGTGCATTTGTGTGTGAAGTAATTCAAACCTTGACTCTGCCACCTAACTGATTCCTCTTAAACTCCAGCTCAGCCTCCGTTTCTATAAAGTGGGCATAATAATAGCACAAACCTCAAAGGCTTGTTGTGAGGACTAGCGGATCTAATGCATGGAAGTGTAATACATGGCGTAAGTGCTTGTCATAGCACCCAGGCTCAAAACATTTAGTCGTTGTTACTGTGTATCGTGGGTTTCATATTTGTTTCATTCACTTACCAAGTATTTGCTGAAGGTCTGCTATGTCCAATAGTGTTTAACAGTGATCTAGCATTTTGGTTGTTTTAGCAAAGTTCTAACCCACTACTTTAAAAAAATTTACATAAGAAAATGCCAACCAAGTCTATTTATAGGGTACAAAAAAATTCAGGTCCATACAAAATTTTGCTCAAAACACACGAGTACTCACAATCCAGTATATAATAAATAAAACACTTCAGATAAACTAAAGCTCCCTGTGTACACATTCTTTAGCTCATTTCCCTCCCTTAGTCCTCCAGTAGGGTTTCCTCTCTTGAATTTGGGTTGCCTCACTCTCTGGGTGGACGTTCACTTCTATTAGCTACATATCCAGCCATCTGTAACATGCAATCTAGCCTTGCAGGATTTAGTAGACTCATATTGTCATAACTTGTACAACTTGCTTTTTTCACTCAACATTCTATTTCTGGGATTCATCCATGTTGATGTATCTAGCTCTATTTTCTTTTCAGCACTATATAGTATCCTATTATATAAATATACCACAAATTATTCATTGTCTTATCAATGCATATTAAGTATTTTTTTTCCAGTTTTTCACAGCCACAAGTAATGCCCCACAAATATTTCCTGCCTAGTACCTGGGCCAGCATTTCTTTAGGGAATATACCTAGGACTGAAATTGTCAGGTGGTAGGGCATGTACCCTGTAACTTTATTGGATTAGGTTAAACCCTTCTTCAAAGGGTTGTTCCAATTGATACTCTGTTAGCAGCACATGGGGGGTTCCTGTGATTCCCTCCCATTCTGCTACATTTGGTATTGTCAGGTTTTTCATTTTTGCTAACCCAAAAAGTAGAAAATATTGAGGTTTCAATATGCACTTTCTGGATCATTAGTAATTTGTTATTTATTTTATCTTATGCAAATGACCTTTTTTATTTGTCTATTTTGTTCTTTTTGTAAAAAGCAGGTTGTTTGTCTTTTTCTTATCAATGTTTAGAGGTCTGGATACCAATCCTCTGTCAGTGGCACACATTGTGAATATTTTCTCCCAACTTGCGGCTTGCCTTTTCACTTAGTTTATAGTATCTTTTAATAAAGAGAAAATTTTTAAAGGTTTTTATTTTTTAACAAACATAATGCCACAGCAAGACACACATTAAAAATGTTTTTCCTCTTGGATTTTGAAGCCCTTCTCATCTTTCCTAGATGGAAGAACTCAGATTGAAAAAGAGCTCATTTGGGCCTTGGGGCGGGAGGTTAATTGAAAGTGGACGGTGAGTGGGGCTGAGTGGAAGCAGTGCAGCAAAACTGCCTTCCTTGGAGGCCACGGATGCCCGGAATGTGCACAGCAGCTGATCCTTCTGGTGGAAACCAGTGTTGGGGAATCTCTCCAGAACTCAAGTCCTGGACCAAGGGCAGTAACTCCACCCTGACCACTGGTCTGGAATGAGCCCGTCTCATCACAGGGCTAGGAAACTTAGTCCTACTCAGTCAGTTCCACAACACAGTAGAACAAAGAGAAAAGGCTCTCTGCCCAAAGACTTGGATGAAAATCAGACTTAACAAACAGGACTGCTAGAGAAATAGGGAGGGAACTCTGAAAAGAGCCTGGCACTTCAAAAAGAATTTTAAAACTCATGACTTCTGCTAAATAGTATCCTAAATAATAAGGGGAAAAAGTCTGCAGAAAAAAGGGACCAGGTGGGATAGAAATAAAGAAGGAGCAGATAAGAAAGAAGTTTAAAGAAATTGAAAAAGAGAAGGTTAAGAACAACAATTTGGACTGGAGAAGAATTTTTTAAGCCTGGAATTAAAACCAGAAAATGAAAGAATAGATTGAGAAATTTGATTTCATAGGAATTTCAGATTTCTGTATAGCAAAACTGAACAATAACAAATTAAAAGACAAAATGACAAATGCAAAATAACTGCAGTTATGTTATGGGCCGTCTAACATTTTTTTAAAGATACAAACAGCTCTTTTAAATAAACAATAGTAAAAACCCTAGTAAAGTAATAGCCTAAGAGTGAAAACAGACAATCAAGAACGATGAAAAGAGGTTTTCCACACTAGAAATCGAAAGGCTGCCATTGAGATGAGATATTTTTTCTCTTCTGAAGTTTTCCATTAAAGAAGAACGGGCACAGCGATGCTCAGTTTTGCTGAGGGTGTGGAGAAATCTGTCTGCTCATGGGAGGCCTGGGGAATCTCATCTGGTCAACTTTGTCTGGAAGCCGAGTTAATAATATGTACCAAAGCATTAGAAAATAAAAGCACACTCTCTAACTTGCAATCCCACTTTTTGGAATTTATCTAAAGGAAATAATTGAATGACTAAAATTGGGTTATCTGTACAGGACTTGAAATTGTATATGAGGAGCATCAGTGAGACACAGAGGTGGCTGGGTGAAGGCTGAGGGAGGGGGAGACCTGGAGAGGCACTCCCGTGCTCCCGTGGGGGCAGCAGGCTCCTGGCAGGGCCATCCACTGATGCCAGATGCAGCAGGCTGTGAGGAAGGTGGTGGACCGGCTCTGCATGTTTGACATTTCAGGGGCTCGTGTTCAGGGGGATGTCTGCGCAGCTGGAGACTTTGGAGGCATTTGTGTAGGGATGGTGGTTGGGGCTGTGAGGGTGGGTGATGTGGTGGTTTTTTGCATGCCCCTGGGAAAGGGAGTTGAGCCATCAGCTTGGGCTGGTGAAGGGTGGCATGGTGGGCAGTGCTCATGCCCTGCTTGTGGCATTGCCATCTCTGACTGAGACCCATCTGTTGCTTCAGGCCTGGGAACACTCCGTGGGGATAATCTGCTTTCCCAGTCTCCAGAGGCTGGCAGAAGATGTGTCCGACCAGCTTGCCCAGCAACTCCAGAAGGTCCTTGTGGGGAAGCCTGCAGGTAAGAGCATGGAGGTGCTGGCAGGCCCTCTACAGAGAGCAGTGCAGCCCTGCACACCCTCCCAGGCCCCTCTGCTTTCGCGTTAGCTAGAGTGTTGCCTGCCAAAGAGCAGGAGGGCCTCACTCTGTCACTGAGTGCCTTGGGGACCAAGGGAAATGCAGGATGCGGGAAGGGGGCTCGGGGAGCTCTGCTGCTTCCAGGACATATAGACAAACACACACACACATGCTGCACAGAATACATTATACACAAACACACATAGACATACTACACACAGTTGTTGCATACACACAGACACTACACACAGATGTCATACACAGATACGCAGACACACAGAGACACACACACTACACACACAGGCACACGCAGTACATTATACACACACACACATAGACACTACACACAGACACTACACATAGATGTCATACACAGATATACACAGACACACAGAGGCACACACATACACTACACACACAGACACTACACACAGACACTATGCACAGATGTTATACACGGATACACACAGACACACAGAGATACAGAGACACACACATGCACTACATACACAGACACACTACACACAGACACATACAGAGACTACTCACAGAAACTACACACAGACACACACTATACACATGAAGACACACCCAGAAACACTACACACAGAGATACATGTAGGCACGCACACACACAGATACACCACAACATAGACACACACACACACAACATGCAGGGGACCGTGGTCTCTGGGAGTAAGTGCTAGGATTGAAGATGCACCTGTGTGTTTGGTGGAGCTCTTGGTTCTGAAAAGATACAGGGGCCAAAGTGTGCATCTCTCGTGGGGCCTCCTGACTTGCACTCTTCCTCTCATGTGCACTGGTCCCTGGAGGCAGGGTAAAATTTCACACTGGCTGAGGGCCAAGGGTAGGAGGAACTTCTAAGGGGAAGAAATTTCTCAGCATGGTGTAGATTTCAGGAATTCTTGCAACATAAGGGACTGTGTGATCCAAGAAGTAGGGGAAGATTCTGGATTGTGAGAAATCCAATAGCTGAGGAGCTTGTTCTTTCTCACTGGCAATCAGGAACCACTGTTGGCTACTAAACAGGGACAATGGTGTGAAAAAGGCTGTCTTCCAAGGAGGTTAGTCTGGCAGGGTGTGGAACGTTTAGTAGAGAGGCAGGTGGCTTTAGGGACGTGTAGGCAAGATGCCAAAGTCCTCTACAGATGCTCAGGCACATCTCTTGGGAAGAGGGGATCCTGGATGGAGACGAAGCTGAGTGGGCAGGTCGCTGTATGCCCTGCTGGTGACACTGTCTTCCAGAGCAAGCTCGGTTGGCGGCTGGGCAGTTGCTGCGGTGGAAGGGGGACATGGATCAGGATGGCTACTTGCTCCTGAAGTCGGTGTACGTGCTCACGGGGACAGACTCGGTGAGTTTCAGGCCATCGGCCCCCACCCTGGGCACTGCTCATCCAGGTGCAGAGGAGGTCCAGCACAGGGCGGTGGCATGTCCCAAAAGGGCCTTTCTTTTCATAAAACAGATTTATTATTTCTCCTCCCTCCTCCCATTCTGGTGTAGAACGTGGACTTCAGAGCTGGAAATTCCCACTTTCTCAGCTGACAAGTTGTGTGTAACTGTGGGCAAATTGCTTTACCTTCCTGTCCCGTGGTTGCATTTCTAATTTTAGGATTGAGGATAATAACACCTCTTTTCTGGGGTTAGTGTGGGATTGCTAATGGCTGATGTTTATTGAGTACTTCCTACACGTGGGGCAAGGCTGGGTGTGTCCCAGACATCATCAGTGAATCCTCCCAAGGACCCTCTGAGTCAGATCACCGTGATGCCGGTGAGTGATGAGAATTCAGGCTTACCTACACTGTGCATCTGTGGTCTGTCTGACTCCAGATCCCATGCTCAGAGCCACTGTTCTTTGTTTCTTCCTGTTAGGGTCAGCCTGAATGATGTACCCTCTAAGTATCTGTCCTGGCCTCGCTTAGAGATGAGGCATTTCCTCTTCCTTCCCTTCCCACTCATGCCTGCTGCATGCCAGGAACAGCAGAGAACCAGGGTGGCTGCTGCCCTCAGTGTAATTTCTCCAAATTCTTCCAGCCTCTACCTGTTACCAGTTCCAAAGCTGCTTCACTAGATGAACCCAGACATGAGATGGGCCTTTGCAGCCATGCATGGAGGGGTGACAGGAGCACATCATGCAGTACTTGTCTGGGGTCGGGGGTGGTGTCTGACCTGGGAAGTTAACTGAAGGGAGGACCTCCTGAGTCTTCTTCAGGTAAACTGCCTGCACCACTCTCAGGCACAGCAGCCTGAAGCACAGCATGAGGGCTCATCTCGTCTGCCCCTGGGGAAGGAGTCTCTGCCGTCTGATTGGTGACACATTAACCTAAGGGCGTGTTTTTCACTGCCTGTGCATGGTGCATCATGAGTGAGGTGGGGGAAGGACAGGGAGAACTGCCCTGATGGGGTCAAGGTTAACAAGATGTCAAATACATGGAGGACAGTACCTTGCACTGTCAACCTTTGGGAGGAAGGCTAGGACCAGCAGCCTGCGTCTAGTCCTGATCCTGGTCCAGACTGTACATTCATCGTTCTCTTTCTCTGACTTCCCCATAGTGTCTGTCAGGTTAACCAGTGGGGTGGGAAGTTGCATGGACAGCGTTCCATAGGTTGACCTCACAGGTGCTCATATGTGCACGTGCACACATGCATGCACATACACATGCATGCACACACACGCGCACACATACACACACACACACAGAGGCTGCAGCTGAAGTAATCCCACTGGAGCTGCAGGCAAAGCCCCAGGAACAAAGACCCCAGGAAGCTCCTGGGAGGCTGGTCTCCATCTCTGCAGACTTCCTGTCCTCTTGACTTCTGTCTGGCAGCCCTGAGCTATTTAGTTGAGATGCTGGCTGATTGTCAGTCATCACCTATTAGACTTTTTGGACCTTGATGAGATCTGTTGGGGATCTAGATGAGAGGGCAGGAAGGGGCCTGATCAGGTCCTCACCTCTGTGGTTCACACACATATTATCAACCTCCCCTCCAGACTGCTTTCCCTTCCTAATCATGAGTCCCCAGACCACCTCCTAGTCAGGAGGCCCCGGACCACAGTCACCCAGTAGGATTTGCTAGGAAGCCCTTGTATTCTAATCTCTACAATCCCTCTCCTTTTCCCTCCTTTCTACCCACCCTCCCTCCCTCCCTTCCTTTCTTCCTTCTTTCTATCTATGAATCTTATAAAGGAGCTATGGAGCACATAGTAAGCACTTTATATAAACTTAATCATCACAGCCACCCTAGGTGCATCCTCTGGTTGTCAGCATTTCACACTTGAGGACTGGATCTTAGAGGGACTGTCCCCCAGCCCCACTGAAATGGTTGCAGGGGCCTGCTCCTGGGTCCGGGCTGACCTACTTCTGCTGCCTTGCTACCTGGGGTCACATGTGCTCTTCTCTTGCAGGAGACGCTGGGCAGGGTTGCTGAGTCTGGGCTTCCAGCCCTGCTCCTACAATGCCTTTACCTCTTCTTTGTCTTTCCTCTGGACAAAGATGAGCTTTTTGAGAGTGATGTTCAAGTTCAAAGGATGTTTGTGCAGGTGAGTTCGAGGAGGACCTCCATCTCCCTGGGTCAAAATTTCACTTCGGGGACAGACTCTCCGATGCTTCCTGGAGATGTTTTTATCTTTCTCAGCCCTGGTTCCCAAGCTCCTCTGATCTCCCAGAGGGTCCAGCCTCCCCTGCCCCTCACCCCCCACCCTCATGCTCTGCACAGCCTGCATGGTTGGAAAATGAATTGCCCCCTCTTCTCTGCACCTCATCTTGTCCCTGTAGCACTGCCCCCTCCCTTGCTGTCTCCCAGAAATGTGGTCCCCTGCCCCTGCACTTAGCTCCCCTGCACCCACCCAGCTCCCCTCCTCCAGTCTGCATTCTCAAGTCCTGCCCACCCTCCCTGGCATCTGGAACCTCCTTTCTGCCCCCTTCTCCCCTGTTAACAAGCACAATCTGCCCCACTAGCTAAACAGTAGCCGATTTTTTCTCAGTATAAGCTTTGTACCCACCCCTGTGCCATGACCTCACGTGGGTCACCTTCATGAGCCCTCTCTGTCATCCTAGGATACATCTGTAAGTAGTGTTGTCATCCTCGGTCCATACAAACTGAGGCATGGTGAGTGAGCATGGGGTCTGGGGTCACAGAGGTCTTGGGTGGGGCTGAGATTGGCACTCTTGAGTAAGCTTGCATTTGCCTGTTCTCAGCACCTTTTCCCTTCCTCTCAGAAGATATCTCAGGCCTCTAAGTATCAAACACGATTTCCTCCTGTCATTCCCCATCTTTCTTCTTCTCTTTGACTGACTAACTTCTCACCTTCTCCCCCTGTCCACTTCCGGGCAGTTTTTGCTTTATCAGCTTCTGAGACGCTGAGCTCTCCAGAAAATTCTTCCTGCTCCCTGAGCTTGTGAGGGAGGGTACGGAGGACCATGGGGCCTGTCACTATGTGTCCAATGTCTGCAGTGTCTCACACAGAGCAGGTGCTTGTGAGTGTTCAGTGAATTCCCAAATGCAACTGTCCATGGTACATACATGTCCACGTTAGCATCCGCATTAGACAAATTCCCAAGCCTATTCTTCATTTCCAGAGGGTAGTGCCTGAGTTCTGGCAGGTTCCATTAAAGTGGGTTACCCTCTGAGTTGCATTTGTTGAAATGTAGGTGTTAACTGCTTGTATGTAAATCATATTCTAAGTGGAGGCCAGGACACTGCACCACGCTCTTTCACAAATGTTTACTGTGTGGCTTTTAGGTGCCCTGCAGGGAAATAGTGCAGGGTCTGCCTTTGAAGTCCTGTGTGTGTGGACAGAATGTGTGCCACAGGGAATAGACCACGCCTACATTCCTCAAGGGCTTCTGTTACTTTCACAAAAATATACCGAGCCCCTACTGTGCGAAGCTCTACGCCACACCTACGGTTACTGCAGCAAGCATTGGGCTTCACTTTGAGAGGTGACAGAAGGGTGAAGAAGCCAAACAAGGGGAAAACGATCCAGAAACAAGTGTGTAGTCAGCAATGAAAAAAAAAAAAAACAGAGATGGGCTTTGCTCTGTTGCCCAGGCTGCAGTGCAGTTAGCAATTTTTTAAGTGCTATGTAGGTAAAGCCAAAGGTGTGCTGGGCGATGAGGGTGAGAGGCCGTGATCTGTGTTAGAGAATCCGTGAAGTCTGTTCTGAGGGCGTGGCATTTAAGTAGAGAGCTGAGGGTTGGGAGGGTCAGAGGAGGCAGCCTGGCCTATTGGGGTGGAGGAAGTGGAAAGAAGCAGAGAAATGGCCATGCAAGCCCAGGCGCAGGTGAGACCTTGGTCATGTGGCCACACCTACCTGCAAGGCAGGCAGGGAAATGGGACCCGCAGCTGAGGTCCACAATGTCCAGCTTCTCTCTGTATCAGCCTAGAAGGAGCGAATGCCTTCATTCCCATGGAAGGAGCTTGTGATATTTGCCACACTGGCAGCAGGTCCTGTTGGACCACCGAGAACCCAAGGGAGTGGATAAAGTGGGTGAGAAGGCAGTGCTGGGATTTTATCCCACGTGGAGAGGAAGATTTTGTAAGTCCCTCTGTTAGCCATCAGGAAAGGGAATTGGTGGAAACAAGGAGCCCAGTTAGGAGATTATATGCTGACTCAGTGGTCTTAGGGAGAAGTAGAGTCTGAGTGTCAATGAGGAATTCTGAAACACTTCCCTTTTTAAACAGCTCAGGGTCCTATTAATTCTATACCTTAATTGTGGGTGACATTTTTCGGTAGTTCTATTAAAAAGACACAAAGTCAATTGCTTATTTATTATTCTGATTTGGAAGGGATAACAATTACTTGTATAGGGCTGATGCAGTCACATTGGAGCCCCAGGCCCTGCCGCCCTTTCCTAGGGGGCTCTGTTGACCTGCTGGTCTAGAGCAGAGGGTGACCCCATGCAATCCTATCCTTCCCACTGAGACATACCCATCAGTGCTCCAGAGAAGTAGGGAACAAATCTGTCTGAGGAAGGAGGCTTCCTAACCAGGCCTCCTTGGCTCTTTGTCTTCTTATTTTTCAGATGTTGCTCAATATTTGCAGCGACTCCCAGGGCCTGGAGGGACTCCTCTCAGGAAGCGAGCTGCAGTCTCTGCTGATTGCCACGACCTGCCTTCGGGAGAACAACTGCTGCTTCTGGAAGGAGCCCACCTTCTGTGTGCTGAGAGCAATCTCCAAGGCCCAGAACCTCAGCATCATCCAGTACCTGCACGGTATGGCCTGGGAGACTAGGTGTGGGCTGTGGGCCACGGAACGGCTTCCCTTGAACTCAGAGCAAAGGCTGAGGGATCACTTTCTATGAGATGTGGGGTGCTCTTGCAGCCTCTCTATAGAATTCTGGGACCAAAGAAGAGATGAATGGGCAGCCATGCCCAGGAGATAATTCTACATTGCTTGGCTCCCTTCATAAAAGTGCTTTTCTTGTTCATTTTGCTGCTCTATTGGAAGAAGGAGGGAAAGAGGATCTAACTGTGCACATACTACCAATCAGACACTGTGCTGTGCCCATTTGTACATATGTGTACAAACAAGCATTTGTGCTTGTTTCTTTGAGATAGCTCTTAATGCTATTTTGCAATGGGGAAAATAGAGATTAAGAGTAGTAGAAGAATATTTCAAGGCTATTCATCTGTTGAAGAAGAGAATGCAATTTCAAACTTAAAGATGCTTGATTCCAGCACCCTGATTTCTATCTTAGAAACCATGTATAGGGGTTAAGGCCAAAGACTCTGGAGACACAGCCAGGAATGGACTCTGGCTCTGTCCTCGTAGTTGAGTGAGCGTGAGCTCAGGCACTTAACCATCAGGATGCCTCAGTTCTCTCATCTGTAAAATGGGGATAATAATACTGCTGATCTTATTGGATTGTGATTCTTTGCGGCTCTTCTGAGTCCTCACAGCTGAGAGGCTGAGCTTGTGTTATCTCATAGGTAGTTTTTCTGATCCACTGGATTGGCTTCCCCAGTACTCAGAAGAGGTTTTTCTTGATGAGAGATTTCTAAAAGCGGTGATCCATCCAAATGCAAATCTGAGGGCCTCTTTCTTTAGACTCAAATCTTTCCCTGGCTCTGGCACCACTCTGGTGCGGTAGCCATTAAGTGCCACGACTGGGCCTTCTAAAAATAAGCCACACCCCTTTTTCTCTCCCTGGGCTACACTTCAGTGTTCCAATCCTCTGGCCTCTTCAGTATCCAAAGCACCCCATCTTTTCACCCACTGCCTCCCACGTGTTCATACATCCTTCCCTGAACTTTTCATCAAGATAATTTCTGCTCAGCTCCAGCATTGTCTCCTCGAGGTCTGAGATGAGCTTTGGTCTTACATTTTACATCTCATTACCTAATGGACCTGGACTCTCCCTCCTGCTGAGAATTAGGGACAGAGGGCTGAGGGGCTGCCTTCCTCTCCTGTGTCACCTGCTGGGCTTGCAGCGTGTGGCCGTCAGGATGGCACTTTCTTTGGGGCAGTCTTCTTGATCCAAGAGCCAGCAGAACATGTTTTGGATTAATTCCCATTCATGTCCTGACATGTTGTTTGAAGTAGAGGAGGGAGGTGGACCATGGCAGGGAAGCTCTTGCTTCTGAGCTTAGCAGGTCTGTGCTTCCCTCCTGCAGCCACAGACTGTGTCAGGCTCTCCCTCCAGAACCTCTCCAGGCTCACGGACACACTCCCTGCCCCCGAGGTGAGCGAGGCTGTAAACCTGATCCTGGGATTCGTGAAGGATTCCTACCCCATCTCCTCCGCTCTGTTCCTGGAGTTTGAGAATTCAGAGGGCTATCCTCTGCTGCTCAAGGCGTTACTTCGGTAAGTGGCTGGCTATGTTTGGTGGGGGGAGAACACAGGACCACCAAAGCCCTGGTCCTCAGAATCATTGGGGTGCTTTGGAGGAAAATAGATATAGCTCCATAGAGCACAGCCAGATAGACCTCTTATTGCAAAAGTGATTCATTGTGCAGAGAGGTATGGGACCACTTCCTTAGAGAATCAGCCTTTTTACGAAGTTTACTTGTAGGCACCTGTCACCTGCATGTCTGTTGCCCTGATTTTCACCAATCAGAACTCAAACAGAAGCCCTGACTGTTGGAGAGCTTCTGGTGCTGCTGTTAGCTGCCCTGCCTGTGTGCCTGAAGGGCTGGAAAGGTCTGGAAATGAACCACCTTCAGGAGCAGCTGTCCCCCAATGACTGAAGGAGCTGATGGGTGCACACCCAACACAGCTGCCCTTGGGTGGGCTCACTCTGCGTGGCCTCCAGAGCACCCCAGAAGGATTAGCTCCGGTGGCCCCATGAGGTGCTTGCTTGCTAATGCTCTCAGACTGGTTTCCTTCCCTTCCCTGTCTCACATGGCCTCTCCGCTACTGGTGTCTTCTGGGATCAGCTCCCAAGTGAACTACCTCTTTCTGAAATCCTTGAAACATGGGAAACCCAAGCTCAGACACTGTTCAGCAGGGGCTGGGCTGGCTCCGCCTTACTTTCCACTCTGCCTTGCCGTATCATCTTCGGGTGGGGCCCAGGGATTAGAAAGAGCCAGGGATGGAAATCGGAGAAATGCTGTGATGGCCCAAACTCTACTGCTGCTCTTGGGGAAGCCGCTTCAGGGCAAGGCCACCTGGGCTTTGCTCGTCGAGTATAAGACACCCTTCTCCTCTGAGGAGCTACTACCGCACCTCACACCCTTCCCTGCAGAGCCAGGCCTTGAGCCTACATGTGGTGACTTGGATGAGGGAGCTGAAGTCCGTTGGTCCACTGAGAGTCCAAAAGGATGCGATTAAATGTCAATACCTTGCACTTTCCTCCAGAGCGATGCTAAGTGCAAATGCCCCGCTGGGCATCCCACGTTTTGCATTAGTCTGGGCTGTGACCAGCTGACTATGACCTCCGCAGAGGTCTGTGTCATAGCATTTCCTGAACAATTTTTTGGTTCATTGGGTGTTGAGTTTTCCCCAGACTTCTTGTAGAAGGCAGGGGAGGGGACAGGAGCCTGGTCCAGGGAGTGCCAAGGAGGTCCCATGTGGGCTCATTGGCTTTCCTTTCTGCCTTAAGTGAAGCCACGCCACAAGCACTTTTCCTCTGGAAATGGCAGGGCTGGAATAAGACTTGAGAGGCTTTCTCCACAAGAGGAGCAGGACAGCCACCTGCTCATAATCAAAATACAAAAGCCACACTCAACCTTTAAGTAGGATCAAGGAAGTCTATTTTCCACACCCTTTGGTTGCAACGTTGAACTATTATATTGCGCTCTCATTTGGGAGGTGCCCTGGTCTGCCGATGCCCTAAGCATATGTCTTTTGGGGGTCCAGCCATGGAAAGTGACTTTCCTGTGAGCAGATGCTGTAGCTTTTCACAGGCTCTGAATACACTTGTTTGGATCTAAGAATGATGTCTGCAGAGTGGTGTTTATCCAGGGTGCTCCCTTGCCTCTGACTTGCCTCAGGTGCAGACTGTGGGGTCTTCCTTAGCTTGCAGATCTGCCTTGCCTCTGTCTCCCCAAGAGTACCATGCACACATGTGGCTGCTCCATCCAGGAAGTACAGTTTGCTGACCTCGTCTTACCCCCAGGTATGATGGGCTGACCCAGAGTGAAGTGGACCCGCACCTGGAGGAGCTCCTTGGGCTGGTGGTGTGGCTGACGACCTGTGGGAGGTCAGAGCTGAAGGTGTTTGACAGTGTCACTTACCCTCAGCTTGAAGGCTTCAAGTTCCATCACGAGGCATCTGGTGGGTCCTTCTTGTGTCTGGGTGACCGGAAGAGTCAGTGCTGAGTCCTAAGAAGGCTACAGAGGGTCTTCTCCTGATTTTTTGTGTCCCTTTCAATGGTGCAGTAGACTCTGATTATGCCACAGTCTTTGGGGAGGTTATGAATGTCTCCCATGAGACTTGGTGGAAACACTGCTTAATAAAGACAAAAGACTTTCTCAAATAATGGAGGCAACCTCTAGTTCTCTTCTTCACCTCTGGTGTGATTTACCCTATAACATTTGCTTATATAATGGGGGCTGATGGCCCTAGAACAGCCATCCAGGCTCAGAGTCTGTGACTTCTCAGTACTTTGAGACATTGATTGACTGATGAACTCAATTAGCAGGCATGGATACTTTCTGTGTGGCAGGCACTCTGCCCCATGCTGGGTGCCAGTATGAACAGGCCAGGTGTCTGCTCCCTAAAATTCCTCTGTAGAGACTGTCACACATCCCTGAACCCTAGTCTGCTGGAGAATTGGCTAAGAAATGCCAATGACCTGAGGCACAGCCATGGCCTGAGGTGGCTCAGTCTGGAAATCCTGAACAGAGGGCCTACCAGAGGGAGTTTTTAAGGCTAAGTGTGGGTTGTCTAGGTTCTAATGCAGGGAGAAAGCTTAAAGGCAGAAATGACAGCCTGGGGAATAAATGGTGGCCTGGATGGCTGGGTGAGTCTGGGAAATTAGAGCTGCTACAGAACAGACGCAGGGAGGCTGTACTGCTGCAGGGCTCAGGTTAAGAAGGGCCATTGGATGGGATGCAGCAATGCACAGGGGCGCAGACATAGTTTAGGCAGTGCCTGGATCAGAAAGGGTTTTCATAAACATCTCTGGTGTCTGAGGCAGAGAAGGCTGGAGGCAGGGAGCTTTCTGACAGTGTCCCCTGGGGGAGAGAGAATGAGGCTTAACCTTCAAGCTGGAGGAAAAGGTGGAAGTGGGTCAGGAAAGTGTATTTATTTATCAGTTTGTCTAGAAACAAAACTGATTCTGCCAGTAATCTCCAACATCATTTAATTTTAATCCATTGAAACCAATCTTCCTATCCCAATGCTGTGCAATGGACATAAAATGCCAGGCATGTTCTATTATTTTAAATGTAATTTTAACTTTCAATAAGAAGAAATAAGTTAAATTATTTTTGATAATATATTTTATTTAACTCAATATATCCCAAATATTACCATCTCAATGTATGGTCAATACAAATGGTTGTCAATAAGATATTTTGTGTTATTTCCTTTGTGTTATCATCTTTTTGAAATCTAATGTGTACCTGACCTTCACGGCACATGTCAATTCAGAGTGGCCACAGTTTGAGTGCACCTTGGACTATGCCACACCAGCCTTCGTCGCACCCCAGGTGGCTGGCTTTTCTGGACTGATAGGCATGTGCCCAAAGGAGTTAGGACACAGAAACTTCAAATGGCATGTCCTCTTAGTAGTGAAACATCTATTTGTAGAAACAGGCAGGAGAAATGACTTGCAAGGTCATTCTTGTTTTTCTCCTCAGGGGTGACTGTTAAGAATCTTCAGGCCTTCCAGGTCCTGCAGAATGTTTTCCACAAAGCCAGTAACTCTGTCCTCTGCACACAAGTCTTGTCGGCCATCAGGACCATGTGGACCTGGAATGCTCGAAACTTCTTCCTGCTGGAGTGGACCCTGCAGCCCATCTCACAGTTTGTAGAGATCATGCCCCTGAAGCCGGTCCCTGTGCAGGCATACTTCTTCCAGCTGCTGGAGGCCCTGGTGTTTGAGCTGCACTATGTGCCCCACGAGATCCTGCGAAAGGTGCAGCATCTGATCAAGGAGAGCCCTGGGCCGTCCTGCACCCTCATGGCCCTGCAGAGCATCCTCAGCATCGCCGGTGGAGACCCGCTCTTCACTGACATCTTCCGGGACTCAGGGCTCCTGGGCCTGCTGCTGGCACAGCTTCGGAAGCAAGCCAAGATCATGAGGAAGTCAGGTGCCACTGGGCACATCGGGAGGGATGGGCAGGGGTCACTGTCAGCCAGGCCTGGTCTTTGGGCCAACCTGGCTGCCCATCAATGTAACAGAAAGTGAGCATGCCCATTTCATTGAGAACTGTGTTCTTGGGGCACATAGTTTCACCAAAAACAGGCAGCCTCCCAGTCTTCCCCATGAAGAAGTGAAAGGGATGGGTGAACTTGGGGCTAACTCAGGACTTGTGAATTCCCAGGTTTTAGGTATCTCTTGACCTAGACATGTGTGAGTGTGCAGACAGGGAGACTACAGGAGTCTGAGAGGTCCTCAGGAATGGGAGCTTGGAGAGGCCTGGGGTTTGGGGGCCCTGCTGTGATCTGCTGGGACACAGCTGCCTAGCTCACGCTGCTCACTTTGCACTGTTGACTCAGTGGTCTCCCACTGGGAGAGAGCTCCCTGGGGTCTTGCTGGCCCAGCATGTCCCTCCAAGTCTTGGTGCCCTGCTGGGCTGTACACCTGTGGCTCCTTGGCAACACTCCCTTTCCCCTAACTTGGCCCCTACACCCTGGAGTCTCAGCCTCTGCTGCTCCCCTGGGGCTTTAGGGTCTCACGAGGGTGCATGGTGGCTCAGGGGTTGGGTTTTTGCCCTGCCTCACCATGCCCCCCACCACATATCCTGCTGTAGTCACTCTACATGGTGGTCTTTAACTCCCATCTCCACTGACTTTCCAATAGGAAGCAAAGTTTGGAAGCTCCTTCCCCAGCTCCTCTGGTCTTTCCCTCAGTCTGTCTATACCTGCTGGTCTGGGAAATCATCTTAGAGGAGGGACACCGGGACACAAGAATCTGGACGATTACCTCTCCCCACCTTCCCTCCTCTCCTTCTCCTTCTCCCACTGCACTGGCTGGAAGGGTCAGGGAGCTCTCTAGCCTTTGGCTGCTTCTGGAATTCTGCTTCAGACTTAAGCCAAGGTCACCAGCCTGTTTCCTGGGCCTCTCTGAGGGGACAGAGCTAAGGGCTGGAATCCTAGCCATGCTGCTGACAAACTGAGTGATCCTGAGAAATTTTCTACTGCTTAGTAACTTCTGGCCTAAGGTCCCATCATGAATGAAGTTAATGTAGTGCTTCCCCTGCTTTTCTTCGTGTTTAAATGAGAAGCCTTTTCACAGTCTCTGTCTAGTGGTTCCGTGTTATCTTAGCTGGTATTGCTTTTCGGCAGCCTATCACTGAATTTGCTTTTAAATCCAAAACGGAATTTTTTTTGCTTTTAAATCCTAACACTGAATTTGATTTTAAATCCAAACTCATGATCATTCCTAGGAGAATTTGAACTCTTTTGTGAGCTCACGCATCTAGTCTTACTTTGTGCTCTCTATTGTTAAATGTATTTTGTTGTTTCTTAGATGCTCTGTCTCTTGGTTTATAAACTCTATTTTCATTCATTCATTCATTCATTCATTCATTCCCCAAATAACATCGAGCTTCCAATATGTGTCAGGCACTTTTCTGACATGGGGATTCAAGGTGAATATAGAGATCTGGTTTCGCCCTCGTGGCTCTACTGGGATCACCTATTTACTCCAGATTCTCTTGAGCTTCTCCATGGCTCAGGCATAAGCAGGCAGTCATCCCTCCCAAAGATGAATGGCAGACCATAAAAGGGGTCAAAGGAAAAGTCAGAAGGCAGGGCTCTGTGTATCATCTGGGGCAATGCTTCTCAAAGAGCAGTCCCTGGATCAGCCCCATCAGCATCACTTGAAATTGTCAGAAACACAAATTATAGAACCCTGTCCAAAAACTACTAAATCAGAAATTCTGGGGATGGAACCCAGCATGAGGCTCTGGGTTATAACAAAATAAGCCCTACAGGGAATGCTGATGTGCTGAAGATAGAGAACCCCTGATGTAGGGGGTAATTGCCTTCTATCTTACTAATTGGGATACACACTCTCTTATGATGAAAGCATTATATTCACATCTCCTTAAGAGGATAGAAAGCTGGAGTCAGAGATTTGGGGTCTTATGACATGTGCTTCAATTTTTTTTTTGTTGCTTCTTCAACATGGCAGGAAACAAATTGTCCACTCCTGGTATTCAGGATCCGGAAAGAGAACTCACCTGTGTGATGCTGAGGACTGTACTCACACTTCTGAAAGGCTCAGTGAGAAATGCAGGTAAGGATGGTGCCAACTTCACCTCATCACTGCTTTATGTCAGTGTTCACAGGTTATATTCAAGGAATAACCAATACACAGCGTTAGCTGTGGTTAATGTCCATCTGCTGGATGATGTTCAGTGATCATCAGTAAATCCATAGATACTGTACCTCTGTTGACACCTTTTACTTCTAAGGTTGCTAAATAAAGTTGATGACAAAAAGACTACGTTAAATCTAGCATTATCTAAATTAAATTAAATTATCTTATCTAAATAAGAGCCCCCTTTCCTCTTTTCAAGTGAAATTTATTAGTGCCCTGCTGCACTGACTATAGGTGCTTTTTTATGTTTTAGATCCAAAGAGTAAAATACAGACAAAGAAAGCTATTATTTTTTTTGTTGTTGCATTAAAGAAATGCAATTTGTTATTCTCCCAGATATGACGGACTTAGCAATTTAATCCATTCAAATTTTCTTTTATATATATGGATGTGTCTATATATATGTGTGTGTGTGTGTGTGTATCTACGTATATATATTTATGTATAATATGACTCAGACACACCAACAATGTCATATCAGTGGTTTTGGGTTTGGTGATTTAGGCGTCTTTATCTTTAGTCTCCTAGACTAACCATACCAAATGTAAAAAAAATATTATGTCATTATGGCAGAGAGTCTTTAACATTTAGTCTGTGAAAGGTTCCCCAGAGGTGCTGGTTAAATGCATATTCCTAGGCTCACATCCAGACCTTTAATTAATGGTCATTAGAGGTGGAGCTCAGGAATCTACTTTTAAACAGGCTTTCAAGGCAATTTCCATGCTGGGGGTACTTAGCCTGTAGCTGGACAAATCCTGTCTGCTCGGATTGCCCTCAAGCCCTTTGAAGGATCCAGTTACCTCCTAGTTTTTATTCCACGTGGATTACTCCAATATCAATCCTGGGGAAAAATGTTTGGAATTACTTTTAAGCAAAAATGTACTGCCAGTCAAATTTCTTTAATTTTCTCCCCCAAAGAGCTATCTAGGAATTAAATATGCTCTTAGCTTAAATTGTGGCTTGCTTTCTATATGAATTTTGGCAGAGAGAAGAGAGAAAATTGTTATTGTCCCTGGGGAAGAAATTATGGGGAGGAGAGGTAGATCTAGTTAAAGTTTTTATTACCTAAGTTTCTATTTTTTTTCTTTTTTTACCCCAAGAATTCATGACACTGTTATTAATTTTAGTCACCATGTTGCACAATAGATCTCTTACACTTATTTCTCCCATCTTGAACTTATCTCCTGTGGGGAGTTATTGGTCATTTTTTTCCCCAAATTGAGATTCTCATTGGAGAAGAAAGCAGTTAAAAAAAAAAAAAAAAAAAAAAAGGTCAGATCCACAGTTTCTTTTTTCTGCTTCTCACTTTAACAGTGGGTATAGAGCACCAAAAAATGTACCAGTGAACAAAAGAGAAACATGAAAAAGTAGCAAAATTAACTTTGAAAATTGTAAGAAAAAGCTTTCCTTTTGATTGAAACTGAAGTGGCAAGGCCCCGCCCGCCCCCGGCCCTCTCTGTCTGGTCCTTAGTTGTCCTGAAAGACCACGGCATGGTGCCCTTCATCAAGATCTTCCTGGATGACGAGTGCTACCGGGAGGCCTCGCTCAGCATCTTGGAGCAGCTCTCAGCCATCAACGCCGAGGAGTACATGAGCATCATCGTGGGCGCTCTGTGCTCGTCCACTCAGGGGGAGCTGCAGCTGAAACTGGATCTCCTGAAGGTGATTTCAAGTCCTCCTTTGAGATTGGCTTTCCTATGAATATGCACCAAGTGATCCACATTTACTCATGCATTCATATTCATGTAATTCAGTTGGCCACTGTATGTGGTAGCCAGTACCCTGTATTAGGTAGTGTCAGGTGCTATAACAAATAAATCCATATCTTCAGTAGCCTGGCACATTAGAAATTTCTTTCCAACATATAGTCCAATCAATGATTGGCGACCATCATTCAGGAACTGCAGTCACCTGGGCATCTAACTTGGGCAGCAGACAAGGGAAGAGAGACGGTGGGGAACTGCACAAGGCATTTTCATTCAGATCTAGAACTGGCATGCGTTATTTTCTGTCCAATTTTCTTTAGGAAAAACTTTGGGCAGGACTCACCTGGATGCAAGGGATGCTAGGAAATGTATTTCCTGGCTAGGTGGCTGCTTCCTCTGACACTGTAAACTGTGGAAGTGCAGCTAAAATCTGCAATGGCCAAGTAGCTGCCTTGTTGATTTGATCAGCATTTATTGAGCATCTACCCATTACCAGGGCTGATGAAGAGTACCTGGGACTTATAGTCAAATGTGATACAGCCCTTGCCATCTGGGAGCTCAGAGCCTGGTGCTAATAAGTAAGCAACAGTTACACTGCAGTGTGGTAGATGCATTGGTTAGACACTGAGTGCAGGCTGCTATGGGAACACAGAAGTAGGAGAGACCAATGCTGCCTTACTTGGTTGAGGAAGACCCACTGGGGAGAGAGCCTGTGAGCCGTGACAAAGAAGCAAAAGCCAGTCAGAGGTGTGGAAACACTGGGCACAAAGGGACAAGCAGGGCCGGGTTATCATGTTTGGGCCACGGAGATAAGTGTATGTTTTGGTAATATTGTTAACATTCATCAAGTTGTCTTAAAATAGTTAAACATATATAACAAATATTCTTGCCATCTCTTCTGCCTACAACTTTCAGTTTTGTGGATGTTCCTTTTTTTACATTGCTTTTGTGGGTTTATGGCTTTTAAAAAGGATCACCTGAGTGATCCTCCCACCTCAGCCTCCCAAGTAGCTAGAACTGCAGGCATGTTCCACCATACTTGGCAGATTTTTGTATTCTTTGTACAGAGGGGATTTTGTTATGTTGTCTGCTCTGGTCTTCACCTTCTGTCCTCAAGCAGTCCTCCTACCTCAGCGTCCCAAAGTGGTAGGATCACAGATGTGGACCACTGCGCCCGGCCAATGTGCTCATGTTTCATTAACATGATGTACTTGACTGTTGGTGAATTTAAAAAGAAGTGAAGTTGCTCTGATTTCCAAAATTAGGTCAATCATCAATCTAACTTACTTAGTTATGCCTATGTATATGTAAGAACTTTTTAACTTTTAGCGAATGGTGTTTGGTTCATCATACTTACTTTATTTCTCTGCACATGTGATGTGAGACATTGATGTGAGCTGTTCCAGTTATTATGTGGCCTAAGTCAGCAATGATTGGTATGGCCAAAGCATCATGTGGCCCATTCAAAAGTGGTGTCATGACCATAATTATCATGTTTCACAGATGACAAGAACCCAGTCAGTGATTTAATTAGAGGGCCATAGGATCAGTGAAAGTGATTTGTATGAAACAACAACAAAAAAAGGAAAGTTAAATACCTTTTAAAAGACACTTGAATCCCATGATTATTTGAGGTAAGGGGACTGAGCGGGATGGGTAAAGCAAAGAGTAGGGTAAGGGAGAGATATATCAAAAATAAATAAAATACTGGAGCTACGAATGACCTCAGATTTATGTGGTACAATATCCTAATGTTACAGGCAGAGAGACATCCAGAGAGCTTCATTGGCTAAATTAGTATTGCACAACTGCTAAATGGTGAAATTGAGTCTGAATCTAAGGCTGGCAACTGAAAACTGGGAGAACTTTTCACTTCACTGTGCTGTTTGGTGAATTTTTCTTCATATGTCCATGATCAGCTTGACTGGCACATTCTGATAGGATAGGAACAGGGAAGCCATGTCCTAACCAGTCAGGTCTGTGGGTGAATAATTATTTCTGACAGTGCCATATGGAAAGCCAAACAGATCCACAGAGAGGGAAGTTTTGCTTTTGCTTTGCTTGGAGAGTAAAAGTATTTTTGTGTTCAGTGTAGAAAAGAGTGCTCTGCTTTGCTCATAGAAAGTTCCTTTTGTTTACTCTGTAGCCCAGAGGCATCGTATTGGAATGTCAACTCTTGGGCAATAGGACTAAATTTCTAGAATTAATAATGTAAAGTCATTATGGTGTTTTACAGATTCAATATCATTTCAGACTCACAGTTATCAAGAGAGCACATAAGGGAAGAACACTGGTGAGCTTATTTCACAAAGTCATAGCCTGTACTCAGTGTGCTGTCTTCTCCCTGGGTACTAAGTCACTGCTGGGCAGTTGGAGGCCCCAGGAGTTGGCATTGTTCTCCAAGGGCCAGGGCTGTTACACGGCTGCTCCAGGGGGCAGCTGGGAGGAATGGTGCCTTTTCCAGACTTGCCCACCACTGAGTCACATGAGCAAGTGGTGAAGGTTTGCTGGAATCAGACATGAGATCTACATTTGTTTCTAAATTATCATGGGAACCCCCTGGAACTTTGGAACAAAGATGTTAAGTGAACTGTTTCTGGCTGAATCTCTCTCTTTAGAAGGTAAGGGCCAACTCTGCCCATAGGGCCTGTGTCTACAAAGTGTGCCTGAGTGGGATGAGAGAGTGCCCCCTCTGATAAATATTTCCCATCTCCGAAGTGTTTTCACAGCATGGCATCACTCTGCATCCCTTTCCTGTGGCCTATCTGCCAGCCACTCTGGAGAAGCAACTTAGGGCAATTATTTCAAACACCAGTGGCAGGCACTTCCATACCAACACTGAAGCACATGTGACTTCACCACCTAATTCTGGCAAATGATAACTGAGTTAAAGAATAATGTAAGCAAATGAATTTCCTCTCCTTGGCCAGTGGGACTGTGATTGGGTTATGCACAAATTCAGATTGATTTGCTAATATACATTTAGCTGTTCAACTCTCAGCTTAATTGTATTACCTCGCCCGTCTTCCAGCATGACACATGGAAAATTATGAGGAATAACAAATAATAGAATGTGAAATAAATCCTGTTAGCCCTAATGTAGTTAGCGCTTTGCAGCAGACATCCATTTTATAGATTCAAGCTGGAGGAATACTAACTCAGAGACGATGACATGGTAACTGAGTTAGGATGAGAAAATGTGCTTAACGCTGACCTTTCTTGAAATGTGTCAACCCCAGCCTGATTACTTTGACTTCAGCTGATTAAATTTACTGCCTTCCACAGACTGGAAACCCTGCGTGATGCATTATCATGCAAAGTTGAGTGACAGTAATGGAGACCCTCCTCCTAGACTCCCCATTCCTGACAAATCATTTCCCGAAGTAGCAAAGTATTTATTTTCCTTTATGATAGAAATGTTTCTCTTTAGTTGCTATGAAATTAAGCCTTTGTAATTGGATTTTGGACTCTTTACTTTATGACTCTGCAAATATGAAATTAACCCCATCCCAAGAAATAATAGAGGAGTCTAAGTTCTAATGAGATTACCCCCATTTTAGATAATGACTCTAAATTTAATAAATCAAACAAAGCAACAATTAAGGACAGCCATTCCTTCCTCCTCTCCCTCCCAGCAGGAGGAAAAGAAAATAACCATCTAGGAATTACAGGTGACAAACTTGCTGAGAGACATAGATCATAATGAGGGCGATTATTGGGTTGCTTTGCTTTTTAAAATATCTGCTTCAACGTTCTTTGAATGATGGAGTCTTTTTGAGCAATGTTTGGCATCAAATTGGACAATTGAATTGGGAGGGGGTTCCTTGAGAGAAGGGGGGTTTATGGTGATCATCCAGCACTCAGACGATTGAACGTAATCTGATTAGTTTTGTTTTTTAATCATTCTCTTTTCCTGGTATTTGTTTTTTCATGTGTTATGTGACAAACAGAAGTGCTTATTCATTCCATTTGCCTTAAACAAAGCTCCTGGAGGTCTTAGAGACATTGAAAGCACTCATATAAATTTAGTCTGTTTAACATTGTAGAGCTTAAGATTTCCTGATGTCTTTGTGACTGATGGACTTTTCATGTCATGTGTCACGTGACCAGGCATGAGGTCAGGTTCAGACGTGTGCTGTACCTCATCGTAGTGAACAGCTTTTGGTATGGATTATCATTTAGAAGGGAGGGACCAAAACCACCACACACACGTCAAGGTTGGAGTGAGTTTCTGACTCAGACATAGAAATAACATTTTATTGGGAGTGAGTTGCTCACACAAGGCAGGCACAGATGCAGCATAGCTGCCTTAGCCTTTCCTGGCCCCAGGGTCTCCTGTGTGGGGCAGGGACAGGCCGCTGCCGTGACTCTGTCTACACAGGGAAAGGCCTTGCCCAACCTAAGTCGTGAGCTTCCACATACACACGCTGAGTACCACCATCCTGGAGGAACCGACTCCAACAATCTGCATGCTTCGCTTTGAGGGCATGCACCAACGTTCAACTTCCCTGGGTTTTCAGCCAAATTCAGAAAGAATTAGGCCACATCCTCACTCGGGAGGAAAAAGCAATATCATTGCCCTTGTCTTTCAGGCAGCCTGGGAAGTCCATTTCCCTTAACTCTCTCCCACAATTCAGACTTGACCGCCCCCTTTAGTGGGTGGCTCTGATGCTGAGTTTCTTTCAAAGAGTAAAATGGCAATTCAGTTCCCCCCAGTATCCTTCTGAGACGTGGTGGGGTATCATTGATCTAACCACTGTAAGTAGTGCATTTTCTATTTCTATAACTGGGAAAAGATCAATTGAACTATATTGGTAAGGATGACTCTTTCTACCTTGCTTTATGTTATTTATGCATTTTGAATATAATTATGGACTTTGGCCTTTCATAGATTCTCCAAATGCAATCTGATTTGGTTTTTAAATTTCTGGAAACGTCATAGATGGGACCCTGGAAGCCCTTTACACAGATGGTTGGCTGCCTTTTATCTTCATATTTGAAGGAATCTTTGCCTGTGTTCACCAAAAGAGTCCAGTCTCCTCTTGTGTTCTCTGACCCGAAACATGAGACTCACTACTTGCCCAGTAGCTCGGGTTTCCTGTAGTGGAATCTAACATTAGAGAACAAGTAAACACCACTGTTAGGTTATGGTGTCAGCATTTAAGAGATGGAGCTGGATGCTCGGGAGGCTGAGGCAGGAGAATTGCTTGAATTATGGAGGCAGAGGTTGCATTGAGCTGTGATTCATGCCATTGCACTATAGCCTGGGCAACAGGACAAGACTCTGTCTCAATAATCCAAAAAAAAAAAAAAAAGAGAGAGATGGAGCTGGAGCTGGAAAATTACCTTTCTCTCCCAAAGTGCATGACTTCATCTTTAATAGTCACCTGTAACTTTACTGTTTCTATTTACTAAAAATAATTTAAACATCCACTCCCTTCCTTCCTGTTTTTCTCAGCTAACGGTTTTCTCTTTTACGCTAACTTCCATGTGTCATACTACAGATTATCACGTAAACCATGCATTTAAGTCACAGCATCACCCTTCCCCAAACAGGGAGTTTCTCTTTTATTTTTTCTCTTTGAACTTTGTCTCTGGCCTCCTGAAACTGACTCCAAACTGTGCCTGCTCAGCCAATCCCATTCCCTGTCTCACTAGAGCATTAACTATCTGAAAAGATAAAACAATTCACACCTGTCTCTGCAATCTACTAATGAACCCACAAGGTTGGCCACTCTCTAGGAAGCACATGTCAAATGCCCGAGTTTTAGATGGGGTCCAGTGCAATTTATCTGGTCAATAAATAAGTACCAAAAATTACAGGCTTTTAATACATATTTAAAATCGTCCATGTGTTTTTCACATTTAGATGAAGCACAGAATGAGAACTGCTTAAATGTAGCCTCTCTGCCCTCTTCCTCCCTCCTTCCTTCCAATAGCATGTATTGGTTACCTAGAGTATACCATGCAGTGGACTCAAGTAAGTAACTGCCCAAGAAAAGTTTGATTTTAGAAGAGATGAAAGTTTTGTGGGCCAGTAAAACTCTCAGCGATCTGGAGGGTGGTGGATTCCACGGTGTATGCTATCATCAGTGGCCTAACTGCTTTCTGCACACCTGGCCTATGCTGTGTTATACCTATGCATTTCATTCCATTGCAGGTTTTTCTTCTCTGCCTGACACATTCTTTTCATACCACATTTTAAGTTGATTCATTTTACCGTTTGCCTCATTTAATATAACAGATAAAGCCGCGCTTGCACGGAGAAGGAGATAAGGAGTAACGAGCTGCTTCTATAAGGTTTTCAATGTGTGTCTCCCGTACAGTATAAGAGAAGGTTCATCCCACTCATTTAGCAAATTGTCATTAAGTGTGTGCAGTGTTCCACAGTAGTAAGGAAGTTGGATATGGTTCCCTTCTCATGGAGCTTCAGTCTGCTAGAGAGCTGAGACCATTTTCAAGTCGCTGCAGTAGAGTATGATGAGATACTCTTGATCAGGGAATGGGAGGGGGTTGGGTGAGCATGCAACCTGGGCTGAAGATGAGGTATGGGACAGAAGACACTCTCTGAAAAGAGATGCATTCAAGTCAAAGTACAGGACAGTTAAATCAACCCTATAGATTAGTTTAGTATCTACACAGGAAAAACCTAAATGGAAAGAGGAACAATATGGACATCTCAGCGTTTCAGAATCAACCTTCCTGTAGCTTGCTGGCCTGAAGGCATTGAGGAGGGAACAGGGAATAGGCAGCTCTGGCAGGAATATGTGTGAGCTCAGGGCTAATCTGCCTCCTGGAGTGCACTTATTTCGATTTGCTTGGTGTTTCAGTCTCTGCTCCGGATCCTGGAGACCCCCAAGGGCCGTGCCGCCTTCAGAGTCTCCAGCGGGTTCAACGGGCTCCTGTCCCTGCTCTCTGACCTGGAAGGCTCCCTCCAGGAGCCCCCGCTGCCGGCATGGGAAGCAGTGTCCCCCCAGCAGACCCTGGAGCTGGTGTTGTACACTCTCTGTGCTGTGTCCGCAGCGCTGCACGGGGATCCTGTCAACGGCGACTTCTTTAGGAGGAACGGGCTCTTTGAGAAGCTGGCCGAGGACCTCTGCCTGCTGGGCTGTTTTGGAGCCCTGGAGGAAGAGGGCGCCCCGCTGTGCTCCTGGGCGGACATGAAGGCCAGGCCATTTGTGGATTTGCTGGGCACTGTCTTTTCCTCCAGCAGCTCACTCCCACCTCAGATACAGAGCTGCCTCCAGATCCTGGGCTTTCTGGACAGCATGGCCAGCGGCACCCTCCACCTGCGCGGGGACCTGAAGGCATCCCTGAGGGCCAAGCAGAGGTCGGTTGTGGATGCTCAGAAGGGAGAAGCTGGCAGTGACCCCCAAGGAAACTTCAAGCAGTGGCCAGACCTGGAGGAGAGGTAGCTTCTGCCAGTGGGTCGTCAGTGCGTCTCTGTCTCCCGTTCTCATGCTGACACCTCACGCGTATGTAGTCGGTGGGAAGGCTCAGATACGGAATGGGTATGCAGAAATGTCACTTGATCTCCACTTCTTCAAAGCAAGTTACTTCCGACTCCACACTCTTCTATCTTGGGAACTGACAGAAAATTCAATCTGAGTCAGTACTGGGTTGGAGGATGCTGTTGAGTCACATGAGAACCAGGGAGGCCTATGGGATGCCTGGGAACCGAGGGCAGGACCCTGCTGATACACTCACCTCCTCCTTTGGGAGCTTTACTGTCCCAGGGAGGCTGGTGCCTGGGCTGGCATCCTTGGGCATATCAGGCAGCCTTGGCCTTATGAGGTTTTATATCCTCCCCAGGGTGCTGCCAAGGGGGGGGGTGATATCCTTTGATCTGCAGGACACAAACCACTATTCACCCCCCAGTTATGGAACTCTTTCTGTTCTTCCTTGCTGCTTCTACACCCCTATCAAAGACAATGGCTCTCCTTACTTCCTCAGGCCAAACACCTCAATGGGTTCAGGCTTCAGTAAACAACTTTTTACTCTCATGTCTATAACAGAGAATTCCACTAAAGCAAGAGAGCACAAAGAACCACCCCTACCCCACCCCTCTTGGGGTAGGAGGAAAAATGAAAGACCACAACAGCAACAGTTGGTGTGTTTTTCCATTCCTCTAAAGTAGAAATGACAGAACACCCATCAATACTGCAGTAAACTATCCTTTCGAAAGACACTGCGTTTTTATCCAGAGTGCCCCATTTGCTAGGCATCAGTGTTGGGGATGGTACGGAGAGGGATGCATGTTAAATCTCCACACACCAAGATAATTATGATTTTTTTGTTGTTGTTAATCTGGCTAATTAATTGGTTTGCTAATCTTGGAATGCTAGGAATGCTAATCTTGCATTCCTGCACAAACCAAGTCATTCATAATCTATGTACTGCTGAATTTGATGCACTAATCTTTGAAAAGGATTTTTGCTCTGATATTCAGGAGTTTAGCTTTTCATACTCCTTTCCTGGAGACTTTTCTTGTCAAATCTATGCTAGCATCACAACATGGATTGGACAGTGCTTCTCTTCTATTCTAAAGAAGTGTTTATGTAAAGATTATTTTCTTTCCCTAGCTAATGTGATAGAACTTGCCACTAAATCCTTGTGGGCCTGGTGTTTCCTTGTGAGAAAATTTATTCTCATGAGAATGCACTTCTATTTGTTCCTGAATTACTCTTGGTTTGTTATTTTGCAAGCTGATTTTCCCATTCCATCGAAGTTTCCATTTGCGGGCATCTGGCTGCTCACGGTGGCTCCCTGATGCTCTTCTGAGCATCCCTTGTGTGTTCTGTGTCTCATTTCTAACACTATTTTTCTGTGTCTTCCTTGCTTGGTCTGCTTCAGCGCAATTCACAGATGTTTACTTTTCAGTGTGTCTATGAACCACCTTTTGACTTTTCCTGTTTCTCCTATAAACATATATTTTTTTAATATAATTTTCTTTTACCTTTGGGCTTATTCTGGTGTTCTTTTCCTTAACTTGGAGGTGTATTTCCATCTTCTTTTTACATATAAATTTATCTGTAATTCGCAAGTTTTATTTTCAATGTCATTTAGTATGAAATATTTTTCTAATTTCCCTTACAATTTATAGTTGACTCTTAAGTGTTTGAATTTTGAGTTTCTATTGTTAACAGTGTTTCTGATCATCTTTGCTATTTGCTTCTCACTCTCTCAAGGTGAAAGAAGGTGGACCATCTGGGTTCTCATCCTTTGAAATTAGTTGAGGTTGACTTCATGGACCTCAATTTCATAAATATTCCACGTGCACTAGGAAATAATGCATGTTCTCAGAGTGTTAGGTTTGATGTTCTATTTAGTCTTGTGGATCGAACTTGTCAATTGTTTCATTCAAATATCCTTTATCATTAATTTTTAAAATCTGCTCAAAATATCAGGTTTTTTTGTTTGTTTGTTTGTTTTTTCCTGTTTGTTTCATTTTTATAAACAGCCTTTATTGGGCTCATGGGTCCTGAGGGCTTCTGTGGATTTGTCAGCTTTCTTCTCCATGTTCTTCTCCGCCTGTTTCTGCAGACTCATGAGCTGTTTCTTCTTCTGGTAGTGGGTCTCGGCCTTCTTCCTTTTCTCCTCCAGGGTGGCTGTCACTGCCTGGCACTTCCAGTCAGCCTCGTGAGCCAAGACGCCCCAGGTAGGCAAACTCGCTCATGGGCTTCAGATGCACAGTCTTGCGGGCAGCAGGAACCCCCATCTGGGTTTCCTGTCATGGGCAGTGGAATTCCATCGAACACCTCGGGATCCAGGGCAGCCTGGCCTCACTGGGTCTTGTGGGCAGTGGCCCTGCACTGTCCATTAGAAGACGCTGCTGGGGGCTGGGAAATAATAGGGGCTTCAGCAGGGTTGGTGTTCATCCGCCTGTGGAAGAAGGCTGGGTACCTCAGCTTGTTTCTGTAAAAATGAGAAATGTTGATGCCCTTGCGGGGCGCCATCACCTTCCATCCCAGCAGTACCTGCTTAGCCACATCAGCTGGCAGGTGCCCTGGCAGGTGACCTCAGCCTCCAGCACCGGGATCTGCCCCTCCACCACCTGCGGCAGTGGCCTGGGAAATGGAATATCAGCTATTGAGAATGAAGCATTCAAAATCTCTCATGGAAAAGTGGATATGTCAGTTTCTGTTGAATTTTGCTTTACGTATATTTGAGGCTATAAGAATCATCCATATTTAGAATTTTTACATTCTTATGGATTGCAAATTTTTATCATTATATGGTGACCTTTTCATCTCTAGTAGTACATTTCACCTTAATAATAATAGGACTGTATCAGCTGTCTTTTGATTAGGTTGCCACTGGGATTTTTCTTCATCCTTTGGTTTTAAACTTTCTGTGTACTATCCTTGCATTTTTAGGTGTCTTTCTTGTAAACACTAAGGATCTTTTTTTGTTGGTTTTACTTTGTTTTTAAATGTAGTGTGGTATTATTTGTCATTTACTGGAGAATGTCATTTGTTTACATTTTCATAATTATTAATATATTTGGGAAGATTTCCGCTTAGTTTTTACATTTGTTCCTCTTTTATTATTTATTTTATTTATTTATTTTGTTGCATTTTAGGTTTTGGGGTACATGTGAAGAACATGCAAGATTGTTGCATAGTTACACATGTGGCAGTGTGATTTGCTGCCTTCCTCCCCATCACCTTTATCTGGCATTTCTCCCCATGCTATCTCTCCCCAACTCCCCATCCCCTACTGTCCCTCCCCTATTTCCCCTCAACAGACCCCAGTGTGTAGTGCTCCCCTCCCTCTGTCCATGTGTTCTCATTGTTCAACACCTGCCTATGAGTGAGAACATGCGGTGTTTGATTTTCTGCTCTTGCGTCAGTTTGCTGAGAATGGTGGTTTCCAGGTTCATCCATGTCCCTACAAAGGACACAAACTCATCGTTTTTTATGGCTGCATAATATTCCATGGTGTATATGTGCCACATTTTCCCTGTCCAGTCTAACATCGATGGGCCTTTGGGTTGGCTCCAAGTCTTTGCTATTGTAAACAATGCTGCAATGAACATTTGTGTGCACATATCCTTATAGTAGGATGATTTATAATCCTTTGGATATATAGCCAGTAATGGGATTGCTGGGTCAAATGGAATTTCTATTTCTAGGTCCTTAAGGAATCGTGACACTGTCTTCCACAATGGTTGAACTAATTTACACTCCCACGAACAGTGTAAAAGTGTTCTTATTTCTCCACATCCTCTCTAGCATCTGTTGTCTCCAGATTTTTTAATGATCGCCATTCTAACTGGCGTGAGATGGTATCTCAATGTAGTTTTGATTTGCATTTCTCTGATGACCAGTGATGATGGGCATTTTTTCATATGTTTGTTGGCCTCATGTATGTCTTCTTTTGTAAAGTATCTATTCATATCCTTTGCCCACTTTTTCATGGGCTTGTTTTTTTCTTGTAAATCTGTTTTAGTTCTTTGTAAATTTTAGATATCAGTCCTTTGTCAGATGGGTAAACTGCAAAAATGTTTTCCCATTCTGTTGGTTGCCAATTCACTCTAATGACTGTTTCTTTTGCTGTGCAGAAGCTGTGGAGTTTGATTAGGTCCCATTTGTCTATTTTGGCTTTTGTTGCCAATGCTTTTGGTGTTTTGGTCATGAAGTCCTTGCCTACGTCTATGTCCTGAATGATTTTGCCTAGATTTTCTTCTAGGGTTTTTATAGTGTTAGGTCTTATGTTTAAGTCTTTAATCCATCTGGAGTTAATTTTAGTGTAAGGTGTCAGGAAGCAGTCCAGTTTCTGCTTTCTGCACATGGCTAGCCGGTTTTCTCGACACCATTTATTAAACAGGGAATCCTTTCCCCATTACTTGTTTTTGTCTGGTTTGTCAAAGATCAGATGGTTGTAGATATGTTGTGTTGCCTCCGAGGCCTCTGTTCTGTTCCATTGGTCTATATCTCTGTTTTGGTACTAGTACCATGCTGTTTTGATTACTGTAGGCTTGTAGTATAGTTTGAAGTCCGGTAGTGTGATGCCTCCTGCTTTGTTCTTTTTGCTTAGAATTGACTTCGCTATGCGGGCTCTGTTTTGGTTCCATATGAAGTTTAAGGTGGTTTTTTCCAGTTCTGTGAAGAAGGTCATTGGTAGCTTGATGGGGATAGTGTTGAATCTGTAAATTATTTTGGGCAGTATGGCCATTTTCACGACATTGATTCTTCCTAACCATGAACATGGAATGTTTCTCCATCTGTTTGTGTCCTCTCTTATTTCATTGAGCAGTGGCTTGTAGTTCTCCTTGAAGAGGTCCTTTACGTTCCTTGTTAGTTGTATTCCTAGGTATTTTATTCTCTTTGTGGCAATTGCGAATGGCAGTTCGCTCTTGATTTGGCTCTCTTTAAGTCTGTTATTGGTGTATAGGAATGCTTGTGATTT